CAGATTGTTCACGAAAATGGATAATTTTGGAAGAGGAAATACGATTGTTCGAGCCTTGTGGCTCGTTTTTTATGCTTATCGATTGTCAGCAACTATAAAAACGAGTTGCAAGGTTCGAATAATCGTATCTCCTCTTCCCAAATTCTCCAGTTTTGTGGAGAATCTGAGCGTCAATTAGGGAGACATTACTGTATGTATGTACCTTCGAATCTTCAGATAGAATTGGTAATATTTTTGAAATTATTAAAACGTATTCGAATACCTATAGGACAAGCTTTAGAGATCTTTCGACATAGTTGGGAAGAAATTACTGGACCGAACAACTTGAAAGCCAGCTAACAGAAGAAATAGAAGCGAACATGCTGATCGTATGAAGAACTAAACGAGTTCGAAGCGATGCAACATATACTATCGCGCGGATACTAATTTGCTCGAGTACAGTAATGTCTCTCTAATTGACGCTGAGATTGTCCACAAAAAGTGGACAATTTGGGAAGAAGTCGTACGATTATTTGAGTCTTGCGGTTCGTTTTTATTGTTTCGAATTGTCAATAGCTATAAGAGGGTCTTTACGAGTCTCCTAAGTCTCGACGTAAAGCCTTTGAGTTCTCTGGATCGAAGATCATCGATAGCCCCTCTCGGGGCTCGCGGTAATTCGAGCACCCGTGAGAATCCTTAAGACGACTCTTCTGATCGCGCGAGGACTTTGGAGAACCTAGTTCCTCAAATCCGGGCTGCTTCGTATAGAATTTCTTGCGATTAGAGGAATTTTTCTCGATTCCCCTGGAGGGATCCTTGAAGGCGCTTGAATATATCGGACACGCGGAGTTTCCCCGGGCCACCTACTTTCTTTTAATCCTCGCTAGATTCCTCTCGAGATTCTTGAAAATCTCCGAAGCTACTTGAACAGGCACCGTCTGGTTGGATTCTTGGACGCTGGTTCGTTAAATTGCAACAGGCTTGTGTAGAATTTGTGCGTTAGAGCGTTTTAGATTTCTTCATTTCAAAACTAAAATAATCGCGAACATAATCACGTCCATCACAGCCTCGGCTAATCTGTATCTCAATTTACCATTCACGGAGGTACGGATGACTTCTTGTAATTCTAAGTCCTAATCGCTTCCAAGGAAGCTACCGAAGGCTCGGTTCAGTTAACAAGGCGAGTCATTGGGACAAACGGCGTGCAACGATCGACAAACGCTTCTCAATGACATCAGCCACGTCTCGCGAAAGCGCGGAGGATACGACGGAGCGGTGGTCATCGGCAGGATGGAAATCGAAAGTGTGACGTGGTAGCCGAGCTACGTACGCGTCGCATTCCACAGTCACGGCGGATACACGCGTCGGATAAAAAAAAAGCCGAGTGTCTGCTCGATCGATTACGTTCGTTGTTAAAGCTCGCCTGCTAATGATCCGCGCGGTGGTCCGTGCTCGCGAAACCTTATAGCCTCGACGAAAAGAGAACAAACGTTTCGGTAGAGAAGAGATCTTCGGAAGAAAGGGATCTCTCGATTGTTCGAATTGAAATTGAGCGAAATCAAATCCAGCCCGTACCGATGAATTATTACATCGAATTCTCTTCTGCAGCTTCGTTTGTGCATTCCTTTCTGCTGCTAGAGTAATTACAAATTCGTTTTGATAGCACGAAAGGTTCTGTAGACGTCCATTTCACGTCCAATTTAGGTCTGGACGTGTTACAACCTGAAAGGGTCGTCTTAGAGACGTTCCGAAACAGACGTCGTTTCAACGTCTGAAATAAGACGTATTAAAGACGTTCCGAACTCGACGTCGTTTCAACGACTGAAATAAGACGTCTTAGAGACGTTCCGACCCAGATATCGTTTCAACGTCTGCAATAAGACGTATTAAGGACGTCACGAACCAGTCGTCGTTTCAACGTCTGAAAAATAAAACTGACTTTTGTAATACACGGTCTGAAAATATAAATTGCGGTAGGATATATTGGAGAAGCGCGCTATAAATTCGCGAAAACTCGTTAAAATCGAAATCGAACAATTGAGGTCCTCGTTAGAGTGTCGCGGGGGGTACAAGGGGCCCCGAAGGAGGGAGAAAGAGAGACGGTCGGGCAGAGTGGGGAGCAAGAAAGCGCCGATAGGGGAGGGGCCCAGTTTTAATAGCCGAGGACCTCTCGCGCCGCAGCAGAAAATCCTCGCGGTCGATGTTCCGACGAGATAAGCACGTAGTCCGGTAGCCCGGTTTTACCGGGCCAGTATTTATTGGTTATTGGTGTGGACCGTCATTAGCGAAACCGGGGGTCCCACCGCTCCGAGCAGATACGAAGATATCGCACGGGGCGGCACGCTCTGTCTCTCTCTCTCTCTCTCTCTCCCTCTCTCTCCCCCTCTCTCCTTCTATCTCTCTTTTTCTCTTGCTCACCGAGAGCCCCCCGGAGGACCGCGCCATTCGCAATTTCGTGCGGACGAGACCCGGTGTCCGGCCGATCGGACGCGTTCCGCCGAGTTGACAAATTCCTGCGGCCCCCGAGCCACGCCGCTCCGGGAAAAGCATCGAACCGGGAATCGTTGAAATTCCATGGCAATGCCGAGGCCAGCGTAGCGAGACGCTGCAGAAATTACGACCGAGAGATACCGGTATCTAGAGAATGGGCCCAATTATTCTCGACTCCCAAACGCGACTCTACACAAAAGACAAATTTTTATACCGACTGCCCGATCGACTCGATCTGCTCGACACAACCTGGCTATCAGGTTGACTTCTAGGATCATTCTTCAGCCCCCAATTAGTCTATTAGAATTTATAATGTGCAAGCTGATCGAAGAAGTAATCAATTTCAACACTAGATTGACGAAGCACTGAAATCAGTTGTTTTATATTAGTTTAACAAAGGTAACGATTAGACATTTATTCTGACTTTGAACGTGTGTTATTGGAATATTTGCTGCAAGTAACGCATATATCGAATAAATAACTGATAAATGTATCTTTACCATCCGAATAATTGCAAAGTAACAAATTCTGACCGGTTCTGCTGTACTTAGCGCTAACATTTTTCTTTCAGTTTGCTTCACACGTTCACAAACCAAGCCTATTTCGAAGAAATCTGTCCTAGACGTCAACATTTTATCTTTTTAGTTAAATAAATAACAATAAAAAATAATAGATAAATCCTTCCTACGGCGCCTTCTTATTAGCTGTAAACCTTAACAGACGCGTCCTTGGGGGCGTCTGCCAACAAACCACGAGTTATCTCGTATCATAGCTAACTGTCCTGTGTCACAAGCTAACCTTCTATTGGACTGGAATAACTCAGCCGATACGTGTTTACGGTGGCTGTGCGGTGCAAGTTAACCCTAGAAAGATAACTATATGACAACGTACGTAAAAGATAACCATACGCTTCAGAGGCGCATGCTTTTCTAAGGCGTCAATTTTATACTAACAATGGATATTCATTTAAGTTAATCTAGTCATTTTAAAGGTTTGGCATTATTGTAAAAATAAAATGCATTTATATTATATTTTTTTATATTTTAAGTAATTTTAAACTTAAATCACTAGACCTCTATGAAAAATTAACAAAAATCAACAGTCTTCGCAGGCGCCTCTGCGACGTAGGTTATCTTTCTCGGGTTAAATACACCTATATCTTATTTATTTAGAAGCGATTGTTCGTTTCGAAGAGTTTCGCGACAATCCACCTGAATCGCGATCGCGTAAATGCAGGCAGTTCAACGTTAACCACGTTGGGTACGGGTGTTGAGACCTGTGAAAGGAAAAGGAAGAGCAACATATACGGTGTCTGTGGTGACGACGACGAGTTGCCGGCGTATATTGCGAGGCTACTCGTCTTGAAGAGGACTGCTGTTGTACGCTCGTTTAGCGCTACCCTCCGGGCAAAACCACGGCCGCCATCGTGCACCCGCGGATGGAAATGCTAATTTGACCGAAGAGGGCCTTCTACGCACCCTTCTCTCTTTTCGCCGCGAGCCAGCCTCCTTCTTTTGCTCTCGAATCGTCCTTTTTTCTCGATTCCTCCTGGCGGAAACGTACCGTTCGAGAGCTCTAAACGTTCTAGAACGTTCTACGCTCGTGTCGAGACCCGTGTCGTTCGGATAATAGAGGAATCCTTGACATAGATATTAACCCTTAGCGCTCCGTTGGCTCCGCTACGGAGACGATTACACCGAAGATGCTATGTTTCTGTCGACGTTGGCAATTGTTATTTGCAGTGAAAACGTGCTTAGCGTGTGTACCATTACGATTAAAACATTTTTTGCCCATTTTTATGCTTAGCAGCATAAAATGAATAAAATCAAACGCTTTCGCGAGGACGTGTAATCTTTTCCACTGAAAATAAGGCTTCCTTTATCTTAGGCGCTTTGCTCCAAAAATGTGCCAGAGTTGCTGGTAGGTAGTACTCGAGAAACGCGTGGAGCTCTAAGGGTTAATGGAAACTTCGTTGCCCGAAAACGGGCAAAAATGTGATCGACGGATACCGAACCAGTATTGTTTCGCGAGATTGTCAGGTGTTACGTGATACGATCTTATGGACACGCGTAAATCGAATGGCATAATTTTGCAACAGCGCTTCCGCCGTTCTTCTTCGTTTTCAGTGGTCAGGCATAATGGGCTTGCAAGGACGGATATCGCATTCAGCCGATGACAAGCCTATCAGCCATCCGACTCTCGTCTAAACCTGCGAATTCCTCGAGTGTGCATAATGCCGGACGAAGTGAAGTGTCAATCGAGTTATAGCGTGCTTCACAGTATACACACCACTTCACTGTGAAGTCGCGTTGTCGCGAGGCATTAGGCTCTTGCACGCGCGAGTTCTGCTTCCATGCGGTGGCAAACGCGTTAGAACAATTCGTTCTGTTTGCACAGTACGTTCTCAGCCGCTTTACAAATTTGACTTCGAGTCAAACACTTCAATCGATCTTTGTCGGAACAACCGTGCATTTCTCCCCTTTAGAATGCTTTCGTTATCAATCTTTGCAGGTGTAACTGGGTATACTTACGTATGTGTGAGAACTTCGCCAGTTCTTCGGCGCGTACTTGCTTAACTTATTCTCCGGATCAACGAAGAGATACTCGCCGTCTGAAACAGATAACGCACGGTGTTGTGGTCAGCATGACTTTTTGTTCGACTTCGTAAGGCCATATTAACAACATGTACAGCAATGTCTCCTTAACCGACGCTCGGATTGTGCAACAAAAATGGACAATTTACACATGAAAGGATTCTTGCGTATCGTGCATTATTCGCGGACGTTCTAGGAGCTTGTCCGTTTCAGCGAAATGTATCGATCAATCGCGTCGTCCGAGGACATTTCTTCGATGAAAATTTCATCCGCCGTTGTTTCAAACAGACTAGCGTACGAGAATGATTAGAACGAAGCCGAATTTCATCGATGCCTCGCTGAAAATCAATTTTGAACGGCACGTAAATGTTTAGCCACGCTGCTCGCGTGTCTCGATACGGTAATGTCTCCCTAATTCGCGCTCAGATTGTGCACAGAAGTGAACAATTTGGGAAGAGGAGACACGATTATTCGAGCCTTGCGGCTCGTTTTTATAGTTGTTGACAGTTCGTAACTATAAAAACGATCCGCGAGGCTCGAATAATCGTATCTCCTCTTTCAAAATTGTCCATTTTTGTAGTCAAACTGAGCGTCAATTAGAGAGACATTACTGTACTTCGGAACTCTCATTCGGCGCATGTTTCGAAACGAACCTTCGGCTAATCCCTAATTCTTTAACCCTCTATGGGCCGAATTTTTTTCTTAAATATAAGGCAATTTATGCAACGGAAAATCTATTATTATAAAACCGATATATGCTAATTAAAAAAATATTTAACACTCTATAAACAACTTTATTATAATTAATTCAATTTGTAACTTTGACGTAACAACGGCTTACAATGTTTCCGCATCTACGCACAAATGCTTAAGCGTGAAATTCCACAGTAATTTCTCCCTAATCCGCGCTCAGATTGTGCACAAAAATGGACAATTTGGGAAGAGGTGTGATACGATTATTCGTGCCTTGCAGCTAGTTTTTATAATTGTTGACAATTCGTAACTATTAAAACGAACCGCAAGACTCGAACAATCGTGTCCTCTCTTCCCAAATCGTGTCATTTTTGTGGACGATCTAAGCGTCGATTAGAGAAACATTACTGCGCTTCTAAATCTAACGCGCCCTCCAAAGCTTTCGTTCGACCTTTCGCAATCGAAATCGGGAACCATTAGTCAGAAACGTCAGCCGGATTCACGAAATAGAACCGTGTCCGGAGCTGTGAAAAAAATGAGACGTCGAGTCTCTTCAGGGTCGGATCGGGCCGATGCGCGACGATCCAAGGAGAAATTCTTTCGAGTCTCCCGAGCGTCCTCCGAGGATCAATCTCCGTCAAGGATGCGGTTTCGGGGAACGACCGTTTCCGGTCGTCCCGCTCGACTGACAAATTAATTTTATCGGCCGCGACGGTGTTCCTTTATTATAATCGCGGAGCAAATACAAGCCCCGCTCGGAGCCGGCGGAGTCCGCGAGAGGATTCGGGGATCCTCCACACGGCCGGGCCAAATGGGCCCGTACAAGGGCCCGCACGTACGCGTCCACGGTGCCCCGATATGGTCGCTGCGTGGAGCTCGGGGACCCATTCTCTTCGCTCGACTTTTTGCACGGCTGATGGCCCGAAATGCCGATACCCCTAAACGAGCGAAACAATGAAAGAGCTTGTCGGCGAGGAGATGTTCGTGAATGAGAAGGCCCCCAAACCTGTCCTGCCCACATGGGGCCAGACACTCGGGGTCCGAGACCCTCATGGCGCGACAACGCGACGCGCTTTCCGAACTGGAACTCGATCTCGAAGAAGTTGGAACCGGGGACCCACCCTTTCGCACTCGGCGATCATAAGCTAGATGCGCGCTTTTGGACGTTTGCGTCGTCTACGACCGGTCGAAACTGTCTAACGCGCGCACTCGCTTCTCCGAAAGTGGATCAAACGAGTCGAGCCTTTTCGCGAACCTGGACGAAAAGTGGAACTTTCAAAATATTAGGTAAATAAGTAAATCAGTCCGTTCGCGTTTTCTCTTGTAAAAAAGTATACAGTAATGTCTCTCTAATTGACGCTCGGATTCTCCACAAAATTGGACAATTTGGGAACAGGAGATACGATTCTTCGAGCTTTGCGGTTTGTGTTTATAGTTACGGATTGTCAACAACTATAAAAATGAGTTGCAAGGCTCGGATAATCGTATCTCCTCTTCCCAAATTTTCCATTTTTGTGCACAATCTTAGTAGCATTAGTTAGAGAGACATCACTGTATTACGGTGCGGTCGTTGACGCGGACGGACTTATTGTACAATTTAACTCTAATCTACCCTATTTTAAAGTAGACACTTTCAGCTTCAATTTAAACTGAGTTGCATTGAAATAGCTCCACGGAAACGTATCTTGAAATCCATCCGAACTGTCGCTTCGAACTTGTGCAATTTTCCTTCCCTTTTCCCAGGTGTTATCGCACCGACGGATTTATCGCGCAATCCAACAATTTTGCAAGAATCGCGATTAGATCAGGAGTCTAACATCTTAAGAATACTCAAATCCCTCGAACCGAACTACAAAAGCTCACGAAGATCCTTGCAGAAGTAATTGTCACGATAATTTACTTCGCGAAGTCCAAAAGTAGAGGAAAGTCAGAGACTCGCGAGAAACTCCGACGAATTTGGCCGGCGTACTCTTGAGCCGTAGCGTTCGGTAACAATCGGCAACGGGTGGTTGGTCGGTCGTTTCACAGAAGCGTCGCGAAAGTGTTTTCAGGGAACGCATAAAGCCCCGACGTGATCCGTAAAGGTTGCTGCGGATGTCAGTGACCGAAACCGCTCGCGCCCCGTTTAGATCCCCGGAGCACCATTATCGGCGAGGCCGCAATAAAATATGTTATCCTGTGGCTCTTTCATCGGCAAAACCATAAACCGTACGCGGCACTGCGTTCCCGACTGTTCCATATACAGTATCGAGAAATACGTAGGAAGACCCGGCAAAAGGCGACTGCTTCTATCTATCTAGAAACGCTTGGCAATTTTTCTACACCGTTGCAACCGCGTAGGGATTAGGATTACGGATCATTAGCGGACTCCGCGACTATGTGTGCTCGATAAAATCGAATGGCATCGCGATTTACTCGTTTACTGCGCGAGGCGTTTCAAACAGTGGCAACGGTTGGTCGGTTATTTCTAAAAATGTGAAGAATCGCGAGACACAATTGCTGCTTCGAGTTTACAGTTGCACCTTCGGCGCGTTCGAACGCCTGCCTCGACGCTGTTCGATGCACGATCAAATTGCATGCCGAGACACAAAATTGCCTATTTTCCGCGTGCTCGTCGCCCGCTTCCGGAAACTTCGGCACGCCGTCGCATGTAATACTCATTCATATTATATTCGCCTCTGTACAGCCGCACACCAGCACGCCCGTGCGCGTCGGATATACATACGTATAGACAGTGCGGAATCATTATGGGTTACGTTTCAAACATCTGCTCCTCAATAAAACTGCACGTCGTGAAGCCGGTCCGGGTAGTGTCGTTCGTGTTCGAACAGCCGCGCCTCGATTCTTCTCGACTCTCTCTCTCTCTGGTTCGAGAAGGCTCCTCTTTCTTTCTCTCTCCCCTCGCCGTTCGTTCCCCACCACCGATACATTTCTCTCTTTCTTTTCGATTTCTCGTGCCTCCATCCTCGTCTCGTTCCATCTTTCGTTGTTCGGGGTCCCGGGCTCCCGAGTCCCGGACGGCCTGTCTCTGTTCCGCGAGGCGCAAGTAGGAGAGTCGAGGATTCTCGGACACCCTGTATTTAGCATATTTCGATTTGCCCGAGATACACCGAGAGAGCCCGTCCACCTCGTCGACGTCCGGTGCCACGTGTGGCATGCTGCCTTTCAGACACGAAGGAGCGGATCGAGCCACATTCCGCGGTGGAGCCGGCCAAGGATGAAAGAAGAAGAAGGAGCCGGGGGGATGTAATGCACTCTCCGTTGTGAAGAGAGGCCCCAGAGCCCAGACCCGGCTCCTCGGCCCGGCCCGGCCCGACCCGGCCCGGCGCGGCTCTCGCGGCCGGGGCTCCTTCGGCTTTCCTTTCTGCTGCGCCTTCTTCCTTCCCTTCGGACGCGAGCCAAGAAGGTAGGGAGGCAAAGACGGAGCGACGAAGAGCTCGGGGAGTGGGAGTCGCGCCGCTGGAGTAAGCGAGGGGAAGCGAAAAACGAAGAAGAGGAGAAGGTCGGGAAGGGAAGAAACGGCGAACCGTAGGAGAAGAAGAACGGGAAGGTTGAAGCCGGACGGGAGAAGAAGGTTGGGGGTGGCGACCTAAGAAGGTCGGAACATCGTATTTCTTGCGGGCCGGCGAGAGTCAGCGGCAGCGTCATTAAAAAGAAAAGTTCCGCGGGCATTGTGGCTAGCCGAAACTCCGTGAAAAATGCGCCCCGAATCATCGTCGTGCCGCCGTTCGACTATCCCCAAGGATGAAAAATATTGAACCACCGCGTACCGAACAGAAGGTGCCTCCTCGCTTCTCTCTTCTCTCGTCTCGCTCGCTCCGCGAAATTATTACCGGGCGCTCGCTCGGCGAGGCGCGTCTCTCGGGTGTCCTTGCTCGAAGGTAGTCGGCGATTGTTTCACCTGTTCGGTCTCTCGGGTAACGCGCCCCGCCGCCGCCGCCGATTTTGCGATCCTCTTCGCCGCGCCGCTTCGAGCCGAGCCGGAGCTACGCTCGCAATCGAACCCGAGAGATAGATCCTCGCCGCTGATCGAGAAAGTCGTAAGTCAGCCGAGAGTTCTTCTTTCGTTGCGATCTCTCCGCTCGTATAGCCGAGGGCACCTGTGTTACCCGAGGTATAACCCGACCATTACCGGGGAATGTTGCCCGAGGGCTAACCCTGGCCCTCGTGTAACCAACCATCGAGGCCCATGGGGTCCATCTTATCCCACTAGAGATTCCCTCCAGTCACGGACGAAGAGCAAGATCTTACGTCGTCCCTTCTCTCTTCCTCTCGCCGGTCTCCTCGCTCGTCCTCCTTTTTCTCCGTCTTCGAACCATTCCTA